CTGGGAAGGTCGCTGAATCGAAAAGGTGAGCGCTGATTTTCGGATTCTTCAGCTGGTCGGTGGTTCATTGAGAGGCCCGAATGCAGCCCAAGCTGCCCTCCTTCTTTTCCCTAATTCCTCTTTCATTTTGTTTTTCTTGTTTACTGATCGCCCAAAGTATACGTACGAGGTGGTCTCATAGTCCGACCCTTTTTGTGCTCCGTTGAGCTCATAGGCTATCGTCTCTGCTCCCGAAGACATCTCGATTCGAGAGATTCTCTATTGAGGAAGATTCGGTTCTATACAGTGACGAAGACACCACATCGAGAAAACGAACAACTGTGTGCCATCGACTCGGATTATCGGTTCCGATAAAGACGAAGGTGTCGAAACGTTACTCGAGTAAAGATTATATATAATGTAAGCCTATCCAAGAATGAATACAATGATCACAGGTTTTCCTCTTCACACTACTCTAAGTGCGCAAATAATTTGACGATATCGATCAGTGCTTCCAATGCATGTGTGTAGCATGGCTTATCATTTAGAACAACTTCTTGGTCACAGAAAGAGGCAAAAGGTAACACAACTTTTTTCTCTATCCATGGTAATTCCGTCACTCACGGAGATACCTGTGGATGGTGCACAGTGATTGTTCCTAACTAGAATTGAGCAACAGATAAATGTTAACCTGTTATCACTCACCGAAAAGGCTTTGAAAAGAAAGGAAATAGGTATTAGGCAGATCTGCGCATACCTTTACGGAGATCAAGATTGTTTAGGCTCACCTAAATTGAAAGAAATCCATCAACTTCACGAATGATTGTGCACTTGAATCTAGATTCCTAAAGGGTTTCAAAAGTTGCAACCAACTGTGTCATAATGCGAAAATATTACTAAAGAACAGATTGTTTGTTACACTAAATCAATCTTTATTCTGCAGCAAAAATTTGCCAATTACGACCTCTCACCATCCATAACAAAGCGCACGGTATCCGCTTAGTACAATGCATTTGGTCTAAAAATAATCACAGCTTTTAGAATTAAAACAATATTTCAACTCATATTGAACCTTGTTATTTGAAATAAAAGTCACTTAAGGTTTTCGTCTAATTACTTTATAGTAATTCGCTCTTACTCTACCAAGACGTTAATCTGATCTTCTACAGAACCTAGAACATGTCTCTTCACCTTTTGTGCATCCTGACCTCATTTCGAGAAAGAAAGTAGAATAACAAGTGGGGTGTCACGGAGCAGGATATGATGGCGTTTCGCAAAGTATGATCGACGCTTGCAGCGTCCTTCTCAAGTAGAAAGCTTCGAAAATTCTGAAGAAAGTTTGTTTTTGGTTTCTCAAAATTTTAGTCCTAATTTTTAAAATTGAAATTGACAGTTAAAATTGAAAGAGCGTTTCATAAGAATTGATTATGTGCTTACTGTTAAGAAACAGTATGTGTCATATAAATGAAGGTAATAAATTCTGAAAGACTAGTTATCGAGCATTTATTGTCGTTTGTTGGAAAACCAGCTTCGAGTGTTATGAATTACTATTAACAGAGCGACACTCAATTTTCTCTGGCTAAGCTATAGAACGAGAACTAATTTTCGGAAGCGCGCGCCTATTTTTCGATAATTACCTGAGCACCTGGAAAGCTGTATAAGAGACTTAGCCCTGGGGTGTACATTGTTTTCTTATGTTATTTTTACTTCAAATTTATTTAAAATTTATGTTTTCTATGGATTCGTGAGCAGATTTATTTTTTAATGTTTTACCTGGAGTGCTGTTGTCATGCACATCAATAATACATTGATGGGAGTCGTGGTGTTCCGCTCTACTCAATTCTCACTAGCTGATCGCATCACTTCTTGAAATAGCTGCGAAATTAAATATGCCGTCTTAAATTTGGTAAGCTCAAACTTTTTCAGCAATGTATGTATGTATGTATGTATGAGTGGAAATCAAATCATGGCGGTAACTCTGCTTACCTAACTTGTGAGTTGGAATCGACTCACCCCGTGGTCTTTCTGCTACTGCATAAACGATGTCTTGCTTTTTTCGCTCAGGAGACAAACACAAATCTTTTAATGTTATAACTTTTTATTTTCTACCTACTATAATTTCGCGACAGGGTACTAAGCGAAATACAACCACAACGTTGCTGAGATATTTGCAAAACTCTGGACCGCAGGTGTCTATGGTGGGGAATGAACGCGCTATTGTCCTTTCCGGGGAGTAACGCGTTCACCACCACACCATGCGGGTCCTTCGTTTCACCTGTCTCTCAGCTATTTCTATCGATCTTTTTGCTACAGCATTTTTTAATCTTTTAGTAAAAACAAAATCTTTTAGTAAAAACAGAACTTTGTGGAATATGAGCATTAATGGAATGCAGAAAACACTTTGCTTTATCATTTGTGGCTATAAGTGATATCTATGGTGCTATATACTATATGTTACTGAGTTCCGTTACACAAACACATTACTGCCAATATTTGAAAGTGTTTTACAATATATAGGCCCCTATTTCACTATTTTTCATACCGGAAAAATCACTTCGATAACTACCATTCATCATCACCTGTATCACCCGTAGTTCCGTTGATCACCGAGTGACTCGAGCGAGCGCCAGTAAATCTTCCATTTTTCCCTGTTGCGTGCAAGAGTAACCCAGTGGACTCTGCTCGCTCTAGGGGCTCGTTGATCATCATATCCATCCATTATGATTTTCGTGAGCACCTCTGACCATCGAGTCGGTGATACTCTTGTCATCCCGAGGAATCCACCCACTAACGACTGTTGTCCATCGGTTTTGGTTCATGCGTACTACGTGTCCAGGTGGCTTTTGACAGCTTCGCAAATGTAACTGCGCCTCAGATTTTCGTTCTTTCGTGTAGAGTGGTGCTTCGGTTTCCTTGCCTCGCTTGTGGGGAAAGGGACGCTCCTAGCATCATGCTTTCCACTGCGAATTCAATAACACCGAAGCGATCTTTCATTACTCTTACTCAGAGACCAGGCTTCTGACGCGTACATTAAGGGAAGAGGAATAGTGGAGACGAAAAGATAGGCACGGGGTCGGATGATCTTTGTCCTCTTCAATGCATCCTCAATGTTTTTGAAAGACCCCCTACCAGCTCTCTTCCTCCTGCTCATCTCTGGAACTAAGTCATTTATTATGTGTGATTTTCCGACCCACATAGACGTCAGTGGAGCATTCGGAGACATTCATTCCGTTGGACGTGAATGAAGCATTCGTAACAATCCGATCCAATCTAATCCTCATGAAAATCATTTTTGTGAGAATCGGTCGAAGACCCATCTTTCGACAGGCTTCACTAAGCTCGACGAGCAATCGTTCCTCCTGACTAACACTAGGTGTTGTAAGACCGATGTCACCAGCAAAACGAAGATGTCGTAATTGCCGACCATCGATTTTCACTTCCATGTTGTTCCATTTCAATGTTCGCGTGACGTTCTCGACCAATGCGTTAAATAATTTTGGCGCGATGGTATCGCCTTGGCTAACACCTTTTTTGACCTCGATGTTAATATCATTGTATAGTGATAAAATCTTGGTTGTGAAGCATTTATACAGCTCACGAAGAATCTTTATGCTCTCAGTAAGGAATGACTCCTTGGCTGTCCAGGGCTTCCAATGACAGCTTCTATATCATCTCAGCCAAAAATATTCTTCAAACCGATGAAAGTGAGAGGAAGTTGTCTCTTATATTACACTCTCAGATTACTTCGGCAACCCTTTAATCGTGAGGATATGGGCATAGTCCTGCTGGTCGTTCACTGATTAGGGACTTTGAATTCAGATGGGTAACGTGTGAACAGCCGAGCCACTATGTTTATGAGAACTGGCAGATGTTCTTCAGGTGTTCAGATCTTATCATGCCCGTACCTGGTGTTGTTATATCCTTCAACGACGAGATAACATGTGAAATTTCGGGAAAGAGAACCGGTGGAATGACATATCCATTCTCGTTTATTTCATATGGGGCAAGAGCACGTAGCTATTCAAGAAATCTGAGTGGTATTCATGAATTATTTTCTGCATTGCCTTCCTGGAAGCCGTGAGTGTTTCGTCTAGGCGTTGCAGTGCAATCATCTTGGTTTTGCAACTGGTGAAGTTTCGGTGGGGTTTTCGAATGTTTTTCCCAGCCTCTGCAGCTTCGCCCATTACCGCTGCTCTTCTCCCTCTAAGGTCTTCTTTTATCGCCTGTCTGCATTGTTTTGCATGTTCGGACGTTAGTTCGCGGTTGCCTGCAGCTCGTGCGATTCCACGCTGGCGTATCAGCTCGAGTGTTTCTGGAGACAGACGTCCTTTGGTGACTTTCGGGCTATCAGCTTTCATAGCGCTATAGTTAAGATGTTGAATGAGCCGACCCTATTCATCGTCAATGATATCGATATCGATAACGGCATCTTCCCAATAGCTGACTAATGAATTGAATAAAACCCAGCTTACGGCGGTTCTGGACTTTGGTTTTGGAATTTAGCGGCTTTTTCTCCTTTCGCGAGAAATAGAATCTTGCACGAATTAGACGATGGTCTGATCCCGTGTAGAATTTTGGAATCGTATTCGTATTATTCGTGTTATAAAAAAGAATCGTATTCCTTGTCGATGTCGACAACTGCGTCCTGTGTACAAGCGACTAGTGAATCGACTAAGTCCCAGTTCATGGTGGTTTTGGTACTTCGTTCCTTGAATTTAACAGCTTTTTCTCCTTTCTACGAGAAATAGAATCTTGAACGAAAGAGACGTTGGCCTGATCCCTTGTAGAATTTTGAGGCAACAGTGACATCTGTTAGGCAAAACCTCCAATTTACTATAATATGATCAATTTCGCCATGGTGCTCTCTACACTAGAACTCTCCTACCTTCAGCGTTGAGGGTGGGGCATGTGGAATTGAGAGTTCCACTGAGTAAGGACCTTGCATTCAGGCAGGCAACGTGTGAACAGCCGAGCCAGTGTGTTTACGAGGACTGGCGGAAGGTTCTCCAGGTGCTCTGGTTTTATCCTGCTCGGACCTGCTCTGTTCGATTTTTCACCGACGAAATGGCATGTCGGATTTCGGAAGGGAGAACCGGTGGTACAACATATCCATCCTCCTTTATTTCATATGGCGGAAGGTGGACGTCGCTATCGAAGAGATCCGAGTAGTATTCGTGAATGATTTCCTCCATTGCCTCTATGGACGCTGGAACTGTTCCGTCTAGGCGCTGGAGAGCAATCATTTTGGTCTTCCAATTGGCGAAGCTTCGGTGGCCTTTGTGAATGTTTTTCCCAGCCTCTGCAGCTTCGCCCATTACCGCTGCTCTTCTCCCTCTAAGGTCCTCTTTTATCGCCTGTCTGCATTGTTTTGCATGTTCGGACGTTAGTTCGCGGTTGCCTGCAGCTCGTGCGATTCCACGCTGGCGTATTAGCTTGAGTGTTTCTGGAGACAGACGTCTCTTGGTGACTTTCGAACACTGAGCATTCATAGCGCTAACGTGATGGTGTTGAATGAGCCTATCCTCTTCTTCGTCGATGTTATCGACAACGGCATCTTCCAAACAGCCGGCTTATGAATTGAATAAATCCCAGTTTACGGTGGTTTTTGGACTTCGGTTTTAGAATTTAGCGGCTTTTTCTCTTTTCCGCGAGAAATAGAATCTTGCACAAAGGAGACGATGATCTGATCCCGTGTAGAATTATGGGACAACGGCGACATCGGTTAGGCAAAACCTTCCATTTACAATTTCTATTTTGTTATGGTACTCTCCACTGAGAGACTCCCACGTCCAGCGTTGAGGGTGGGGCTTGTGGAATTGAGAGTTACCATAAATGGTTGTGATTGTCATGATGTACTGAGATAGCCGCTCACCCTGCTCATTCCATTCTAATCCGTAGGTTCCAATGTAACTTTCTTCAGACGTTCTTCTTGGTCCAATGTTAGTGTTAAATTCTCCGATGATCGTTCGCTATAGAAGTTGAAACTGAGATAGATTTGTGTACGTAGTGTACAATTATGTGTGTATTTATGTATAGCATTAAAATGTAAAAAATATTTGTACGTTTTTAAGTGCAAAATCGAACTTTTCCCGACTGAAGCCCAACACAACCTCTGCGTTCTACCAGTGATGGAAAGTGTAAAAAAATAGCTCTGTGTGTTAAAATAAACCACTGGGAAGAAAGTGGGACCTATAGTGTCTTACCGACCACTTTCTTAAAACCGTTATCACACATGTAGGTGTCCCTCTTGTAAAAGTGCTGATAACCGCTGTTCAATGGGCAGCTTGAAGGAAAAGATTTTAAAGGCATTCAACTCAGTGAGGGATTGGAACCACTCTATCGTAAATTTTTCTACAACGTGTCAATGAGTTTTGTAACCGTGTGAATGTGATTCGTCGCAATGAATTTTTAGCAAAGCTATGATAAGAATCGGTAGTGATCCTTTCAATATATGAAGCATAATTACGTTATTGAAAACCAATTAACCACTGTAACTGTCTGCTTTCGAATCTTGTATCAGCCTTTTTGAAGATCGCTTGAGTGAAGAGCTTTCACACAACAAACAGAGTACGGATTAACAATAACTCCCAATATTAAACAGCTTTCCTACTCTGTTCTTCTCTTCATGGCATGGACCATGGCCTTCTTCTATCTCTTCATTGACAAAATCGCGACAGTTAGCTTGCGAAAGTCGGGCCATTGTATTGACTAGGACTGGTGTAGGCTTCCTCAGGTGTTCAAACCTTCTGCCTTTTGGGTGCCCCGTGGTTCTTCTTCGTGGGCAGACTAGAAACCGACTTTTATTCAAATACGATGAAGGCACTTCTGAAGAGATCAAAATATAAATCCTGAATGTCCTCCTAAATTGCCTTCCTATAAGCAATGACTGCTCCGTATGAAGGGTTGAGATGATTTATGTTGATTCAATTCTTGTGGATATTCTACCCAGCTCTCCAGCCTGTATTAGTGGTGCTTTTCCTTGAAGTTTCATGTCATTTTTCCACAAATAAGTTGCAAGTTTAAGTAAAAGTTGGCGGCGGTAAGTTACTGAATCTATGAAACTTGATTACATTTTTTAGAACTTAAGGCAACATAACCAGTGTGATGGGCAGTTGGTTGAACGAACATTCCAAGATCTCTGAAAACTTCTTCGCCATTGTTATAATCAAGAAAAGATGTTATATGCCACTGCTCTATAACATAAGAAATCCGTTCTATTAGCGAAAGTTGGAGAACTGAAAAGAACTCATTTCACTACTACTCATAGAAATAGTGACTTCTTTACCAGATGAGAAGCATTGTGAGGTACAGTTTAGGCTCCGCTTCTCAATGAAGTCGCAGTTCTCGCATTGGTTGATAAGGTTTTAGAAACGGTGTAGTTTAGTTGTCTATTTAAATTATTTGGATATCAGAAACGCCTGAACTTTTATTTATCACCCATTTCTTTTTCAATAACAGGACAAGACGTGAACTGCAACGACAACGATGCTGAGAAGGTGGTCTTCGAACTGGTATTATTATATTTATTACCTTTGCCAGGGGTTCACGTGCTATACTCACGCCAGCCGAGGTCCTTGCCTTGCCCCTTCCTCACAGCCATATTTTAAAGAAGAGGAAGAGGCATCAAGTAAAAGTTAAAGATCGTGGTTTTGACGATTTTGACTACAACTTCATTATAACTAAGCTCAATACCGATTTTTGGTCCACAGATCATTTACGTTGACGGATGATTGCTGGTAGAATCGAGAGAATAGAAACACTGCTGAGAGAAAAGCACAGCAAGAACGTAGATTGGTGTGGTGGATACCACGTGAGTTCCGGGAAAGAGTAATCGCAGGTTCGAACCCAAACTAAGGCTCCGTGTATTGCATATATTTTAGCATTCTTGTAATTGTAATGTTCAAATTGTTCAACAATTTATTGTGAATGAACGTTGATAGCAAGTTGAACGATATGCTCAAACTTTAAAAACTCTAGTAGAATTTTGCACTAACAAATGATTACTTTCTCCTTAGATAATACTTTAACTATTCATTTCTTCGAAGAGAATAGTTAAAGCAACCCTTCTTTGATCTCGCTTTTACAAGAAATTTTCAAAAAATGTTAACTACAGCAATATTCCCTAGGTTCGTCTGACAGGTATGCTATATGTCTATGTGTTTGGGAACATTCATTAAAATTTCTTAGAATATATAGAGTGCTGTAATTGATGAGCATGAGGAAAAGGAGCGGAAAGGTGGGTAGGCAGCGGTTCGGTTTTTGTAGCATTGCTTGAGTAGCAGCCAGGAACCGGATTTCCAGATGAACGGTGTTCTAGGTACACATAAAAACCAAAGCCTGCAGTGCTGCAATGAAAATTCGTCCATTCCATTAATATCGAATTACCACAGGTGAATTCGTCAAAATGGTCCTCACGGAACATTTTGCAAGCTGACAAAACTCCACCTGGTTGTTGATTTCCTTTCCCGGAAAAGTAATGTCACTTACTGGCCAAAAACTTTTATTCTTCTTGCAAACCAATTTTGATTAAAGCTCTGTATAAATAATCAATGTGCTTTGTTTCATTGGCAAGCCAGCACGGTGATGCGAGTCCCACACGTACCATCACGACTCTGAGGATGGCGAAATCGCCGAAACGTCAGCCATCGACCAACAACACCAACAACAACACAGCGACAACGAAGACCTGTACCAACCTCGCATCAGCTAAGGAAGATCGGCTTATAAGATCATGCAAATAAATATATCAGCTGCCTATGCCAGGTTTATAGAAAGTTGGTCTTTCGAGTTATTATAGAAATTTGTACAATAATCTGTTGAAAGAAGTTGTCCAAATTTTACTAGGTGCTCAATAGAAACAATAATTTCGAGTATTCTAATGATCATACACCACATTGCTTTTGAATTCATCGACATCCATCATTCTCCTCTCCTAAATATACTTATATTGGTTCCCGGGATCGACTTTCTCTTAACCTCGGCATTGGAATATGAATGTGTCGTTTTCTTGTTCAGCAATCGCGAGGTTTTTAAGCAGCATACATTTACTTCCATAAAAACACAATACAATACAACGCTAGCTGACGTGTCGGCAGTATCCCCTTCTGCAGAGCCTGGAATGGTATACTGATATACAATCTACTAGGCCAAACGCTTCAATAACGCTTACACAAAGACGAAAGGCACTTTGGTAACCTTTGGCTCTTATACACATTCATATACTTATATTACTACAACGTTGCTGAGATATTTGCAAAACTCTGGACCGCCGGTGTCTATGGTGGGGAACGAACGCGCTATTGTCCTTTCCAGGGAGTAACGCGCTCACCACTACATCACGCGGGTCCTTCGTTTCGCCTGCGGTCCAGAGTTTTGCAAATATCTCAGCAACGTTGTGGTTGTATTTCGCTTAGTAACCTGCCATGAAAATTATAGAAGGCAGAAAACAAACGTAAAAACATTACACTTATATTTTCCAGAACTTTTTAATTTGATGTAAACGTTGATGTAGATAGTCCAGAGAATTACACCAGAACACTAAGCAGCAGCTAATACTTATTATGTAAATCTAATGTGCGCCTGTGTGTGTATGTGAATGTGTTGCGTGTTATATATATATATATATGCTTCATACACTGCTGATTGGGGTCGAATAGGGGTTTTAAGCGAAATCCGTAACCCCTTGCCAATTTTCGTCTCATTCTTTTACCGTCTTCGTCTCAACCACAGGTGCCATGCATAGCGGTCATCACCATCGCCGCCATAGAGACACTTACTGCACATCTACTACCTTCTCCTCATGGTTATTCCGTCCTAATATTGTTTACAAATCAGTACTCCTTGCCGCTTGTCAACGACAAATTTCCTCCAAGAAATTATTGCCCGCGCGTGTTTTTTCTCCAACGCCTTTTTTTCATTTAAACAGCAATTGTATCAATCAGTATACTCGAAGTATTGTTAGCGCATTACACAGTTTAATATTCCTGGTTCTGGATGACTACATTATTTTCACTAAGTTCTACTAAAGGGTCGCTTGCTTTGTCCTACGTTTTCCATTACCTTTGAGAGCACTCTCTGGAAATCCTCCTATTAAAAGTGATCATCACGTTTCAGTCAGCAATATGAATGATGACCTCTGTGAACATCGGCTATTAACAAAGCAATCGTTAATCTCTCCTTCATAGATTTACCTTGCCAGTGCTTTCACTTTTCCATTCATTATTTTGCGAACTTCAAGATCATAAGGAATTCATAAATGCCGCGGTTCTGTTTTCGACAAGACTATTTCCGCATTTATCAACATCTTCGAGAAAACGAAACGTAAAATTGTCTCTTACACCCTTTCAAAAATGTCTTTTGTGTAGCGAGGAAACAGATGGCAGGACGAATTTTGAGTTGATTTCAGTCCATCAATTGCAAATGGTGATTCGAAACCCTCGAAGAGGCCACGATAATAACACATCGCAGTTCTGTCATTACAGCGATGAGGTATGACCGTTATTTTCACCATCAAATTTTCTTATTTTTTGCTGTCCATTGGCTTTAGTAGAATTAAAATAAGTTTTTTTAAATATTGCGAGTTGATTTTTGCAAAGTTGAATTATCAAACATGTCGAAAAAAGTAAAATTTGCAGTCAAGTATTTGATTACGACATAAGAATTGCACTCGGCTTCACCCGTATTACTTACCCTCTCGTTGATAGCGGAGTGACTAGAGGGATTCAGAAAACTTCCTTCGTTATCTTCTTCGCACGCCTCATGTATTGAATCGTTAATCAGCTATGACCCACCACACGACTTCTTTTATCTAACTAATCATCCGTTTTCTCTGTCTTACATCTTACATCTTTCTTATCCTAAATAGCCCGTTCAGTCTTTGTGAGAGCTCTCAGATTCCCACGCTTTTTTTGTCTCAGCTATAAAACGTTTGTTGTAGCTTTGAAACGATTCCATTTCTCAAAAAAATTAATTTCCGGAAAAAAAGCCAATTTTTGGACAATCGCCATCAGAGTACCCATCATTCCACTTCGTGCTAAACTAATACTGCGGTCTTAAAGTTGCGGTGAGTTGATGAAGGGCTTTCGTGTGCCGATCATTGATTCCCTGTTCATTCATCGCTTCCATATCCGCTTCTCATCAGATGAGTCGAGGACCTATTTTTCCAGTCAATGAAGGTGTTGCAGCAAGATACATGCTAGAAATACTTAACTGGGCTTCACCATTGTCACAGACAACTTAGGCGGCAATAGTCACTGTTGGGTAGGTTTCATTTTCGTTCAATAGCGCGATCCAGTTCCATATCCACTGCTAGAATATTGCTTTATAACAGGTAATGTGTTCTAGGCAAATTCAGTTTGTTGGTGACGACTAGAGGTGGCTTCACCTGCTTCTGGCCTAATTCTGTTGGAACCGGTCAAATCTACTCGCCGAAAAATATAGAGCATAGTGAAATACGAAAGAGAGAAACGTTGAAACGACATATTCACTTTTTTAATGTGCTATGAAAGTAGGTGGAAGTAAATGTCGAATAAAACAGCGCGGAAATCTTGAATGACTTTCCGCATAACTTTTTTGGAAGAGGTGAATTCCCATCCTGTTGGTGAGCTTCTTGGTCTTGTAATTCACGAGGTCTCCACAGTTCTTGCAGATACCCTTCCCAATGTCTGCCAGTCATGCTGTTTTTTCAACTAAAAAATTTCTGTAGTACGTTTTCATCGGTGATTTTCAAACTTTCAACCAATATAATAGCGAGATTTCTCCATTTCCCATGATTTTGGGATTTCATTTCTTAAAAATTGTTTCCTCCTTCAAGCTAAACGAGAACGACCATCTGGCGAGAAAGAGGTAAAGAATCCATATGAAACTTTGAACACATCAAGACCGTGGTCGTCTTCGTAGAACTCCTCCGTAACCCTTCCAAGTCCATATAGATCGCTTTAAACTTGTTTTCGTCATAAGTGGGCTTTGTGACTACACGATAATATTTTTGAAAGCTGGTACTGATCACATTATTTCGAGTGTATTTGTCCGATGAAGGTCCTGGGTTGCACAATGGTGCCGATTTTTATGACAAACCTGATGTTGATGAGGACACTATGCCGGCTACTCGGTTAATGCATAACGCAGCGAGCAGTTCTTCTGCGCTGTCTTAAACGGCGCTGTTAATGTATCTCCCCTTTCTGACTAGTCATATGGCACCTGCTCAATCGTCTTAGTTTTTAACATGAGGGAATCAGTGGACGATTCTAATGCTAGCCTTAAACAAGTACAGTTCTTCACTTCGTCGTCATTGTTCTTTCACATTTCTAAAGCGTAAAATGACTATATTCGCCTTGGGGCTCAACATACAAACGAGCAGCTTTTTATTCATTACTACTGCTTACCTGAAGCTGATTTATTTAGCCCAGCTCCAAACAATTCTTAATGCCCTTTCCAGCCTATTTATTGTGGCTTTTAGGTGAAAGCTGATTCGTGGACATTTTGTTTAATTAATTGATTTCGTGTATTCGACATGCTCCTTTCGGATGTTCATTTGCTGAAAAAAACTCAGGGCTACTCACTTCGTCCATATTTCATGCGTAAATTGCTTAGTATGCATAAACGTTTGTGACTCGTTGGTTTTGTGACTCTGAAACATCCTTAAGGAGCGTTTCCAAGACAGTCTGTCATAATCTCCAAGTCACTAACTTAATATTGTTCCAAGTACGCTTCCGATGTAAGGATGCCGTTTATTTTAGCCGTTATATTCGAATGCTTGCGAGGAAAATTCAGAACGTGAGTGTTCACGAGCACAGCTGGTACCAGGTTCGATTTCTTTTTCATGAAATGTAGTAAAGCTAGGTTTATAGTAAAACAACAATGAATAGCCGGACATTATAAGAAATTCATGGAGCCCAATTCTCGATGATAATAACTCTCTGCATATCGTTTATCCTTTTATTATCTCCGCTAACTATAATTAGATATTTAGACAGAAGTCTGATTATAGGTGCCGTAGTCGCTTCCTTTGTAAAAACTGAGCAAACAAAAACTAGCTCTTTTTTCTGCTAGGCGCTAGTGATACGATGTTGAAACTGAACATTGGTGGAATGCCATTCCGAATTCGGATGGCCAGCCTGTTTTCACGAACAGAAGAGGAGAAATTGGTGATGTTTGCTTTGATGGACCACGAAATGCGAATTCGCTCCTGCGACGCCTTTATCATCGTAAGTTAACGGATTCACTTTGCTTCTTTTTTGGTATTCCTGACGATTTTTTATCTGTAAAATTACGGATGACTAAAGCAGGATGCGGGAGAGTACTACTTCGAACGATCATCTATGCTATTTGACTCTGTGTTTAAATACTACGTCACTGGACAATTACATCGGCCGTTGGACGTGTGTTATCAAGAATTCTCCAACGAGCTAGGATACTGGAAGATTCCCGAGTCCTTGTTATCTACTTGCTGCTTGCGTGGACCAAACAAATTGTGGGTTTCAGTAATACAAGAGCTTTTTCAGAGCATTGCAGACCTTTTATCTAAGGTTAGAGGAACTGGCAGTGGGTCGGCTACTGGTGCCAAGCGTTGTCATTGTGTTTATTTCTAAAATAAAAGCCACAGTAATCGATATCTAGTCATTACTGCAAGTAAACAGATGGTTATTTTCTCATCTGTTCCCCACAACAGGAGGTGAACAAATGTTTTAAATTATTGAGCAAACAGTGAGAGTACATAACATCTACTTGGGAGAATAAAGAAAAGGTTAAACTCTCGGCATTGATCAAACCCTTAGGGATGCGCCATGCAATCGACTTCATTAAGCACCGTTTGGAGATGAATGAATGCATATCTGGCTTTTACAATGACTTGCGGTGGCCTACCGAAAAATCGAACCAGTGCTCCCAAGAAAGTCTGGTACCAATTTGCCGACCCGGGAGGGATGGAAGGCCTGGTGAGCCTCGAACGCGGAAATCGATTCCAGATGTGTGCTGGAAGGCGCCTCCGACCACTGCGCCACACGGGCCATTGGATATCAGCAAGTGTAAGAAGAATAGGAAAGAAAAGAGATATGCATAGACCCGAATAATGTAAAGTTAGACTGTATAAGCAACACATATAGGAAAAATGATTTTAAAAACTAAGGTTATTGCACAGCGTAAGGATAGTTCTAGTAGACATTTTGCGCCCTGGTTGAAGCTAGGCCTCACACATTATCTCCTTTCGTATCTTCAAGACCATTCACTATTTCTTTGTCACGATGCTATAAACTTGCAGAGTTTTTTGTTATTACGGGCAAAATTTTCGCAATTTGTAGGAAAACTTTCTGAAGTCGTTGTTAAAGTTCGTAGTCTGTTCTTCAACAGTACACCTAGTCGAGAGTACACCGTGGTGCTATTAAATGCGAACATAATTTCCAAATTCTTTTATGCAACAAAACCAACAACGTATTCGAATGAAAAACCGTTGGAATAACAAATTCGATTGTGTATGTTCATAATACAAAGTCTTTAAAAATATGTCTAACGAGTTCAGTAGATGGAAAAAAATACATCTTATTTTGTTGGTAACCTTGCACGAAAGTGTCACTAAGGTTTCTTGAAGACAGTATTTTCACTATGAAAGATTCGTGTGGCAGTTCACTCTATGCCATTCGACTCGTTGCGACACGGAGACTTACATATTGCAAAAAATAGCGCTAGTTAACACTCAATCCAGATGGTCCACTTCTCTGAGGAAGACGATGGCGCCGAAGCGTAGGCAACAAGAAAGATTTGATGCCAACTTCATGGTCAGTGACAGAACTGTAAATGCAGGCATACAAAACGCTTTGCAGTTGCAAACAGATTAGCTGTCCTATTGTGGGTAGCAGATATGACAAGCAGTAATAGATAAAAGAGCTAAAAAGCTCTCGGCGTTCACCAATCACTGAGGGATGCGCCAAGCATTCCACTTCATTAAGCATTGTTTGTAGATGACTGAATGCATATCTGGCCTTTGCAATAACTCGCAGTGGCCTACCCATGTATCGAGCCAGTGCTGCTATCCTCCTCAAAAAGTCTGGTACCAATTTGCCGAACTCGTAAGGATGGAAAGCTTGGTGGACCACGGGCGCATGGATCGATCCCACGTATGTGTTGCAGGGCGCCTTCGATCACTGCAGCACGCGCGTCTTTAACGCCTTTAAGAATATATAGTAGTAAAAGATATGAGAAATAAGGCCTCCATTTTAGTCAAAGCGATGCCTTGATTGCAACCTCGTGTAAGCTTGTCATAAACAGAGCTGTTTGTCATGCATACCAACGCTACGTGAAAGCCGATTTTTCAAACAACGAAGAATATTTAATCCTCAAACATTTCCATGTGATTTATCGTTCATGTGTACCAATGTAATCAACTAGGTGGTTATAGTATCTTCTAGTACACAACGAATAACTAGAAACTGTCAAATCATTTTTTACAATTTAGCAGTATATCGCCTGAACAACTTGCTCACAAAAACGAAGAAGCAGTAGAGATACGGGATCATTCTCTACGTAGCAAAATACATCGTTTCTGTGAGGGTGATGGATCACTGTTTTCCACCCTATTCACCTTCGGCAGTATCTCTTTTGTACTAATTTCTGTCGTTGGGCTTATCCTAGGAACCATTCACGACTTTCAGGTACGTTTTCATCTTCGAATGATCAAGTGTTTTAGTAATAATGAATCTCATGTAGGATAATCCTATTGACAGTCAGTGCCTCATGCCTAAAAATTGAAATCGCTTCCTTTGATAGGTCCGGGAGTGCTCAAGAAACACATAATAAGGTTTAGTAACGCTAAATGCCATCGAATAAAAATTGTAGTTTCATAGAAAAGAACTTGCAAGATTCTAAAGAAAATGTGCTAATGCAACTAAGGATGTTGAGAAAATGTTGCATTTTTGTCCTATCGCACAGTATTGTGAAAGGACAGAACTGTCGTATTCACGTGCCCATGCAGCACCTAACACATTCCGGAATTCACTGATTTTGTTTGGCGGGTGCGTCAGAGGAGGCCTAATTTTTTAACGCGCACACTGAGAATCAAACGTACATGAGGTCCGTTGTACCTCGTCCACAACAGATAAAACAGCCTGATACGCTGTAATTTCTCCCTCATAATTTCACTAATGTATTGTTTAAAGACTTTCGTGTTTATTCTATATTATAAGTATCCTCGGTGTTCTTCTTTTGTATTTCGGTGCTTCTGAGACATTCACAATTATTCTGCATGGTAGAAAGCCGTTCACTCCAAGCTATAACTAATAATAGCGATTAAAAAAGAAAATTTTCAAAGACTGGTCAAAAGCTCATTTTTATACGTATGAATTGCTTCAGTTGACGTCGGACTCAATTTTGTATTGAATATTCTGATCGAATGTGAACAAAAAGACAAAGAACGCACTGAGGAAGACGAGGTGCCCCTGCTGCTTGTCGGCGGGGAGTGTGAAGAGAGTGGATCAAGAGTGAAGGAGAACGTATCGATAATGGCTCAGCAGTGAATAGTGAAGCAATCTGGTATCACACAACCTCGTAAACTCCGGTGACAGGGTTACAAGAACACGTTCAAGGGCCTAAAATTGCCGGTGGGAATTAGATGGAAATTATTGGACTATGGGAGGCTTCAAGTACTTCCACGTTTCAAGTAGATCAAATAGTTCTATGGCTCACCAAGTCTTCCATCCCTCCGGGGTCGACGAATTGCTACTAGACTTGTCTTGGAGGATAGCAGCACCGGCTTGCCACATCGGTAGGCCACTGCGACTCATTATAAAGGCCAGATATGCATTCAATCACCTCCAACGATATTTAATGAAGTTGAATGCATGACGCATCTCTCGGGGATTGTTCAACGCTGAGAGCTTTTTTCTTATGGAAGATTACTGAATTCCAGGTTCGTTCTGTGAAAAAGGCGTATTTGGGCAGATGTCGTTTCCTTGGGTGCTTGCTTGGATCCTTGGATCGCTCGTCCTCACTGGTTGTGCGGACCCCGGCATAATCTCCATTTTTTCGCAGTTTTGTAGGTTTAGCCATTGTTGTTCTTTGGAGTTCCGAGGTCACCCAGGCCATAGTCTACCTCAGGTCTACCGTCACCACCACTGGCAGCGACCACCCTTGTGAATCAGATGGAGATTTGGTTATCCAGGAACGCCTTCCAGCGACGATGAGACGGTTAACCGTTGGTAGGGCGGATTTCATTTAGAACATAGTTTTTAAAAACTATTTTTATCTCTACGTTTTGCCACAACTGTAATCTACAATAAACTAGACAAATTCTACGAGATCAAAGCGTTTCTAAAATGTCTAAACAGCAATTCTAAAGGAGTCTTCGCAATCGGCAGAAACGTTTGAATCGATGAATTTATGTGGTGTTTAGATGGTGAAAGTGGTATCCTTCTACCGCTGTATGCTGTATACCAAACACCATAATATAACGGGTGAAAGCAAGAACTTAAGTTTCTTGAGCTCTGCACAAGGTGCACAAGCGACATAATTTTTGGCTTAGGATGATAAAGATTTCTCCAAAAATGACAGCATAGCTGAATCAGCGGTATGGTTTTTGGAAGGTTTGCCAGCTCAAAAAAGAAACGTGTATAACAATAACAGCCACGAAATTTTCGCCTTCGTTGGGATGTTACTTCAGTGAAAGACATAGTCGATCGGCTCGTGCAGGAGGAATTGGAAAAGACTTCTTCAACAGATAACGCTAAAGAAGTTGGAGAGGGTACAAGCAATAATGGAGCAGCCGGATCATTTTTTTTAATGTAATTTCGGTACGTTCGTCTATTTCCTCACTTGGGGCTCAAACGGGATTTACAAACATGTGGATCATCTACAGTGAGACTTTTCAAAAGGTCAGCATGAATCATTTTAAGATTCAAGTGTACTAAAAACTACGAATTATCACTGTCTCCACGACATGAAGTAGCAGTGTTCTGTCTTGTACACTTTTCTATTCAGCCTCCTGGTAAAAACATATGTTTTGGATAAGCTGTTAAATTAGTACAAAAAGCACAGAAAATTGCCTCCCAGCACGAGTAAACAGCCGTAAAGGAAATTTATCTATATCAGTTCACGACGGCTAATCTGCCACCCTCAGCCTCTTTTCTAGGATTGCAATCAATTCGCACCGGAGATTAAGAAGCAGGATTTTCAAAGCCAAACATCCGCTATTGAAGCATATTTTGAAGAAATAATTAATGGTGCATGTACAGAAGAACTAGAGCCAATGTGCCGCTACCGAGGGTGGCCAAAAGAGGTTAAACGCGGAGGCAAAAAATAAACGAGATCCGATGGACAGGAGTCGTAAGCGACTGGTTTTCTCGGTATGTCAGAAGTACCGCAGAAAACCACTGATATGACGGCCAGAGTTCTTTATAAAAACCTTAGGAGGAAGACATGTTGCTCAACAACTTCCAAGGGAAGACGGAACGCACTGGGCAACACCTGCATGCTAAAGAGAGAAATGGAACGCTTACTGGTCATCGGTCGTGTAACTCCACGATCAACGGAACGACAGGTGAGTCAAGCGTCATGCTGGAAAAATCGTCACTTTTTCACATTGTGTGGACTTTAAGTGTTGTAGCGATATGATAGTCTAGGAACACAAGGAGCTGCTTAATCACACTTTTTTGTGAGCTCATTTGATAACTTAGTTAATTCGTTAACGCTGATATATTTGATTTCTGAAGTTGCCAACTACGTTGTCCTTCTATTACAAGAATCACTGGGAGATTAGGAATTCGGTTATCACCTGCAGTTTTAGGTTCCAGTTCTGAGGCACGGGACGCTTTCAAGGCGAATAAAAAACCTGAGCGCAGGTAATATTTTATAAATTTCTAGTGAAAGCACCATCCTAATTGTGAATACGGAAACCTTCCTCATATTTACAACTGTGGCAATCAATTTATGCCAATAATATCGCAGTTATATATTTTTTTAGTTTTTCCTTTTTTTTTCTTCTTTTCCACTTTTTTCCCTTTGTTTCCGTGCTTTTTCCGCCCAGTTCGTTTCCCCACATCTGTCATACACAATAATCTTCCTATTTTTTTGTGAATTGGGCTGCTGCTTGATATTCCTTCTTCGTTACAAATGACGTTAATTGTTGGTTGAGTAGATTCACCCAATAGCAAAGCCAGCCTAGGATAGCCGTGCCATAACCTTTCCTGGTCTTACACCAAGCAGTTGTTATCTTTTGTGGATTGGATGCACATACCAGGCAATTTTGGAACCAATTCTCTGATCCTAGATGAGAAGCGGGATTTCTTGGCGTGGCACCGGGTCCAACAAACGCCTCATCAACATTGAACAGCGCCTCTACACATTGCGATGATAACGTCCCGATTTAAAAATTATGTGACTATTTGTTTTAGTGAAACCGTAGTAAAAACGCATGCAAGAGGGGGTATTAACGCTGATGACACAACTCGTACTCGGTATGGAACACCTACTAATGTAGTTCAGTACTCCCTGAATTTCAAAATTGTCTGTGCTCTGCCTTGCCGTGTCCTTGTTACGCTGTTTAATCCTTATGTTGTTTTAGTTTTAAGTAGTTTTAAGGTAACATTTTTATTAGTGCTTGCCATATTTATTGGCGGTTACAGTAAATTATTTTGTAGTATCATACGAAAGAAATTAACACAGCCCTTTGTTTTTTGCGACGAATTTTGCGTCTTAACATCCTATTTGCTATTCCATAATCTAATACTTTTGTGTGTCTTAAAAGAAGGAATGTTAAGGCTACATAGCATAGAGAACGCTGATTCTGACACTTTTTCACATTATTTAATAATCACAACCTTTAGAATGCTTTCAAATAAAACTGCTGCGACTTTGTTTACACCGTGCTGCAAAAATTCCCATTTGGCATTTTTCGAAATAAAGTGTAGCTAATTTTTTTATTTCATTTGATTTACCATCACTTACTTCTACGTGCGAATCCCAGCACTTTTCTCATTCGATTCGTTTCCTCGCCCATTATCTACTACGGTCTTCCAACTTTTACGTGTGCCTTCAGTTGCTGCTTGAGAATTTCCATTTCATCTTGAATGATGTCGAATGCTGACCGAGCACTTTTCCCCGCAGTCCTGAGATAACCAGGCTTAAGAATTCTCAATTGGATGGTAGAGAGTAATTTTTTCCAGACAAGTCCACTACCAATTTCCTGACTCAGGAGAGATGACAGACTTGGTTAGCCCGTAGCGCAATAGAACTAGCACTATGCTCGTGATGATGGACATCACTACCACTGCGCTGTCCGCTCCTCGCGTCGCTAATTAGCAGTGATTTCTAGCAAATTTGTGTGTGATTTTTTTTCTAACAAATAATACCTTTCATGAAGACAATTGTTTTCTCTGCAAGCTCTGTCTAAATATTTATATGCGCCCTTTAATTCTTTGCGAAAGAAAACGAAGTTCCCTTCCAATAAGCGAGAAATATTTCTCTCACGGATACGTATGCTCTTTTAAGTTTTTTTTTTCCTTAATGCTAAAGAAGAATTTCCAGGTTGTAGTGGTTGTGACACTAAGTGACGTATGACGTGCACAAACACACGTGCGGTGCCAAGAAATTACCTCTAAATTTAAATTTTTTGAAAATCTGATCTGATTAAAGAACCTTGACCTTGACCTTGGCTATACATAACAGCTATCGGTATGGGATTTCAGTAGTTTGGCGAAAATCTTGGAGTTTTTTCCTTACTAAGTGTTTAGTGAATTGCTTCCGGAATTCTATGAACCAACCGGCGGATCTTTCATGTCAAAAGACTTATCCAGTAGTATCATTGTGCAAAAGATCGTTTTTTTATAGTTTTTTAATAATAGTATTATCATTGTGCATTATTCAGTCGATAATCCAAAAATTATATGGGAGTCACATCCTATTTTCGGCTATATCGAGACTTTCTGCATTATTTGGTTCACTTTCGAGTTTGTTCTACGGCTAGCTGTTACTCCATCCAGGTGATGTCTTCCAAATATTATTACCTGTCATTTCTAAATTAGCCTTGTGCAATATCGTAAAATGATTTTGTATTTTACAGTGTTCCCTATTATCCAGAAATTTTTTTAAAGGCCTGCTTTTAGGCAGAAGTTCCTCGCTGGCGCCATGAATATTGTCGACATGACAGCAATAGTTCCATTTTATTTAGAATTAGGACTGGCTATATTTGGTATTGACGTTACCAGTTTGAATGATATTAAAGGTTGGTACTTTACGCTCATGCCATAGAAAAATGATTAAGTTGCAGCTGACAATCTCAAAATACCTAACAAATCTGGAACGTTAGACACCTTTCCAGAATTACTAGGCTTTTAATCAGGACTTCTGCTAGACAGTACGAAATCGTATTATTGAGAATTTCTACGTATGTAGTGTTGAGTCAGAAAACTGGCGTTGATCCCAGCTTGCTAATAGTTAGAATGACGATCTTTTCCTAACCATGTATTATACAGAAGCAAACTGAGCATTCTACAAACAAGTATATGTATAGCAGTTGCTAGTGGAAATTAGGTCTTCGAGTCAGTCCTCGGCACCTTATGATCACTAGCTTTGAGTAGGATGCTCGACTTCGTAAAGCTTGCCATGCGGGACTTTTTCGTACTTGTCGCAAAGCAATACCTCAAACTTGGGTAATTCAACCGTTTATAACAATAATAATTCAAAAATAACGAAATATAAACATTGGTACAATACAGACGGCAATATTGTATCATGATCAATAAACGAGGGTAATGCGGGTTAGTATCTTTGCTATAGGTACAGAGCTACATAACAGCAATGTTAATATACAACAGTTACCACATACAACAAGAGAGAACACTTTGGATTGACTACGAGGCGCATTACACATAATGAACAGGGGGCGAATACGGTATTGACGCACAGGGCTCTTTAAATATCTTCTGGAGGAGGCGGTGGTTTGGCACCGGTCCAGAACCTTTACCGAAAACACCGATCAGCTTGCGTTTCCAGTACCCTGTGATGAGATGACTGAGGACGGTTTGCCTGACAGCTTTAAGCTCTTTTGTATTACCATACCCGTGATGGTTTGGAACAGTTGCAACACACAAAAGGTTTCGATGGTATAAAAAGAGTGTGGTTCACAAAGGATGTTTACGACAACCAAAGTTTCTCTCAACGAAGTGAAAACGTTTACATGCTGCAAGATCGCAAAGCGATGCTATAGACCACGAATATGGTTGCCACAGATCTGCGATATGATGAATGAATGGTAACTATTTTGGCAATAGTTACTATACTCCCCACCCCCACATTAAACTACTACATCGGGTAGTAGTCGTGTCATAAGCGTTGCTTGCCTTGTTAATCGGTTGATCGCTGTGTCTATGTCGTGAATACACTGGATTGTTCCGTTTTGCGATAGGAACTGGTGGTAGATGGTAGGGTTTATTAAACGGGTATTTCGGACATATCGTAGCATGTCTCCATTTTGCGTGTGATTACTCCGATGTCAGTAAAATGACCAAGTTTGGGAACATAGCAGTTGTGATTGCGTAGTGGTGAGGCGATGAGTATATTGAAAAGTGAATGAAGTGGTGGATGTGGGTAATTGGCGTTGTTTTTTGAAAGGGAATGGTAGTTTGAAGGTGGTCTTAACCTTTAGAAAACTCGAGTTGTTGCAGATGTACGAATACTAATAGGATAGAATAGACGTAGCATGGAAGATGTAGGAATAGAATATGAAGTGCATGCGGGAAAATACAGTATAGAAATAGTAAATAATAGCGAATCTTCGTTGTTT